AGTCAGAGCCACAGAGCTTAGGTGGCTTATCTCTACCTGCCCTATAAGCCAGGGCACAAAGACACGTTTCCTCCTAATGTTAGATGAGCATATCATCTTCTTTTGGAAAAATAGTACACACCAGTACTTTAATAATCCCCCCAATGCTAACTTCAAATTTAAATAAAAATAGAATTCAAATAGCATTTAGTTCCAGGCATTTCCCAGGTACCAGGATGTACAACAATAGGCAAAATGAACATAAAGCTTCTAGCCTATAAGAGAATAGATGGTTAACACGTAATTATAATTAGGAGGAATGCCATACAAGCAGAAGTATGATAGAAATACTGAGTTAATCCTTAATTGAAAAACAGGTGTTGTTATTTTCAGCTTTACAAACGAGAAAACTAAGGCACAGAACAATTGAGTGGCATATCCCAAGCCTCAGCCAATCTATGTCAGGAGCAGTATTTAAATATCAGGACTCCGACTCCAAGCTCTGTGCTGTTAACTCTCTGGTCTGAAACAGTGCTCATCCCGCAGTAGATATTCAATAAATTAGACCGTAATAAACTGAAAGAGAAACAGTGGCATTTCAAAGGAGTTCATCTCTCTCAAAGACCAGCTTTTTAATCTATTTTTTCAACAGCTTTATTAAGGTATATTTTATACATCGTAAAATTTACTCATTTCAAATGTACAATTCAATGAGTTTTAGTAACTTTACCAAGTGGTGCAACCATCACCATAAATCAGTTTTAGAACATTTTCATCCCCCCAATAAGAACCCTTATGCCCATTTTCAGTTAATTTCCATTCCCATCTCTCGCCCCAGACAACTACTAATCTATTTCCTATCTCTACAAATTTGCCTTTTCTGGACATTTCATATAAATGAAATCACACAATATATAATCTCTTTTGTCTGTTTTTTTTCACTTAGCATAATGTTTTTGAAGTTCATCCATGACGTAGCCTGTGTCAGTAGTTTGTTCCTTAATATTGCTGAATGGTATGCCATTGTATGGATCCACCACATTTTTGTCTATTGATTCACGAGTTGATTGACATTTAGGTTGCTTCCAGTTTTCAACTATAATGAATAATGCTTCTGCAAACATTTGTGTACAAGCTTTTGTGAGGACATATGTCTTCACTTCTCTTGAGTAGACACTTAGAAGCGGAATCGCTAAGTTGTGCTGCAGTTTATGTTTAACTTTTTGAGAGTCTGCCAAACTATATTCCAAAGTGGCTGCTACATTTTACATTCTTACCAGCAATGTATGAGGGTTCCAATTTCTCCACATCCACAGACTCTTATTATTGTCATCTGTTTTTTTGATTATCATTCTAGCAACGGGTGTGAAGTGGTATCTCGTTATGGTTTTGATTTGCATTTCCCTAATGACTAATGATGTTGAGCATCTTTTCACATGCTCATTAGCCATTTGTATATATTCCTTGAAGAAAGGTCTAATCCAAATCCTTTGCTCATATTTTGATGAGATTGTCATCTTATTACTCAGTTGTAAAAGTTCTTTGTAAATTCTGAATACAAATCCTTTTTTTTTTTTTGGATGATATATATATTTTTTTTCCTGAGGAAGATTAGCCCTGAGCTAACATCTGCTGCCAATCCTCCTCTTTTTGCTGAGAAAGACTGGCCCTGAGCTCACATCCATGCCCATCTTCCTCTACTTTATATGTGGGACGCCTACCACAACATGGCGTGCCAAGCGGTGCCATGTCTGCATCGAGGATGTGAACCATCGAACTCCGGGCCGTCGAAGTGGAACGTGCAAACTTAACCGCTGCACCACCGGGCCGGCCCCAAAACCAAGCATGTAAAATCCTTTCTTAAATATGTGTTTTGCAAATATTTGTTCCCAGTCTGTCACTTGTCTTTTCATTTTCTTTTGTGTGTGTGTAAGGAAAATTGGCCCTGACCTAACATCTGTTGCCAATCTTGCTCTTTTTGCTTGAGAAAGATTGTCACTGAGCTAACATCTGTGCCAATCTTCCTCTATTTTACGTGGAATACCACCACAGCATGGCTTGACAAGTGGTGCTAGGTCCATGCCTGGGATCTGAACCTGCGAACCCCAGGCCACTGAAGCAGAGCACATGAACTCAACCACGATGATACCGGGCTGGCCCCTGTCTTTTCATTTTGTTAATGTTGACTTTCAAAGTATAAAAGTTTTGAATTTTGATGAGGTCCATTTTATCAATTTTACAGAAATAAATCCTTATATTTGTAGTCAATTGATTTTTGACAAATGCAATTCACTGATAAGAAGATAGTCTGTCCAAGAGGTGATGCTGGAGAACTGGATATCCACATGCAAAAAGATGAACTTAGATGCTCATCTCACACCATACACAGAAACAAACCCAAAATGGCTCATAAACTTTAATGCAAGAGATAAAACGGTAAGACTTTTAGAAGAAAACATGAAAGAGAGACTTTCAAGAACTTGGGTTACGCAAAGTTTTTTTTATCATATTCTTTAATTCTTGTCCTGATTAAACACAATATATGTACGTGTGTGTAGGTGTATGTATGTGTGTGTTTGTATGTGGTTTGTGTATATAATGAAGCTAGATAGCAAATAGCCAACCTGAGTCAAATGATAAAATATTTTACTGGGATTGTTGACTAAAATTTGAATTAACAATGACATAAATATGTTGAAAGAAAATATGCAAGGGATAAGTGGCAAGCCTGCCAGAACAGAACATCCAGAGGTTGGCAGGGAAACATAAGACAAAGCTGTGTAAATAGTAAGTTAATTCCCTTTTCAAATACTATGCAACGTGTGTACCTAATTTTCAGGCTAAGAAATGCTGATTTCAGGCAGTCATTGATTGCAGATTAAGAAGGCAATCTTCTATAGAAGGATGAATCTCTATCCGCTAAGGAGATGCTACATACTCTCATGTTTGCAATGACATCATAATGCCAACATGAAATTCTTATAGTCTATTACTTTCAACATGCGTAGGAAGAAAGAAATTATTGTTGAAGAATCTATAAACATAATTCGTCAAGAAGAAAGTTTTAGACACAAAGCCTCACTTTAAAGGCACCTTCTTCTATTAAATTCTCTAGACTGCACTTAAAATTGTTAATAGCTAACTTCATGCTCAAATTACCACTTTCACCTCCACAAGGGAAACACAAGAATATTGGCATAACACTTGGCCACTGTGCCAATCAGTGCCTTGCCTCTTCACAGCACCTGAGGGAGCCTTTGCTGAAGCCTGAATCTTGATTTTCTCTATTCAGAGCAACATTTTATTTTCAAAATATATTTCCTGGTATAATTAAAACTGCATTACTGCTTATTAATATTTCAATATCTTTTCATTATTTTCAAGTACAACTGGTTATTTATATGTCCACCTCACCCTCTTAGGAAAGGTCGTCTGTTTTTTGTTCTTTTATCCCTTACATGAGTGGTTTTTTAAATCACTGGAGCCAACAGTCAAGGAGTGGAGCCCTGCCTTACAGCATCAGACAATGGTCTTAGAATGCAATAGACACTTGCTAAGTTTTTGTTGGAATGAAGTAAATATTCATTTTTAATACTGCAGTTTTAAAATTATATTTCCTTAGCCCCAAGGTCTACTGGCAGAAAATATATCACAGAATTGATCAAATTACTAAAATAAATTCTAGGAGAGATATGTAGGTTTATAATGATTGTGATGAAGGCTAATCTGTCAAGGCTAAGAGCCAAATACCAGTGTTTTTCTTTCTTGAATACCTAGTGACATGATGTTCTCTCGTTTATTCTAAAGAGAATGCTCTTTCCTCCTAGATCACAGCCTTTATCTAAATCTCTTGGATAGTTTAAAAATCAGACTTTTTAAGTCCAGGATGAGGTGTGGACACATAGCAAGAAGTGCCCAAAACAAAATCAGCCTTATTATCATTGCTGTTGTTGCTAACATATCTAATAATCACTTCCATCTTGAAAATAAGTAGAAAGATTTACCAGCTCATCAGAATTTCACATAAATTTGAAAGAGGAATGCTACATAGTGAAATAAATGAACACAGCCTTCTTTTCAATCTATTGTGGTTGAGTAGACACTGGCAAAGCACATATGCTATAAAGTTTGCATATCAAATGAGTAAAATGGTACTTCACAAAAAAACAAGTGAATTGAAAAAAACTTTCAAAAATTCTTGTAAAATAGTTTTCTCTTGACTAAGATATAACTTAGACTGGTTCTCAATAATTTCCTCCAATACTATCTGCAGCAATCTTTTGGGTTATACCTCTCTAGCCCTTCAGCCACCTGGAAACATTAAGTCCCACCTGGAGCCTTATACTGACCTCAGGGCCTGGGCCAGTGCAGTCCTCTATAATGGAGCAATTTTTAGAAGCCTTAGACTAGTCACTTATCTGCTCAGTATCTGATTAGCCATTCTGCTGATCCTGCTCTGATATTGTAACCTAGTTTCAGGCACTAAAATTTTCTCTGGTTATTTGTAGCAAAGTCTCTATCTTGAACCTCTAAAAATTAGATCCTGGATTTTTCCATTGTGATCTTCAGTCCTACCATGGGTCCTTACTTTGTATCCCAGTTGGTGCAATACTCCCTATAATGTTCTGTGGGCTTAGTTACAGCTCTACCCTGGGAGTCCAGTCTTCATGAGCATGTCCCCAGTACATGCCAGCTGAGAGCTATGACATAGAATTCCCTCACGTCTGGATTTCCCTTATGGCCTACCATGAAACTCCTCTAGTTATAGGTCCTATGCTTGAGCTAAGTTTCCTACCAACTGTCAGTTCCTCTCTCCATCCCTTGCCTAGCATTGGCAGGACTGTTGAGATTTTGGGTTCTGGACACCCACAGACTGACCCATCTCAAATCTAATTCCAATAGTAACTCAAGTAATACCTCTATTTTAAGATTTCTCTATTCAAACCAGCCAACCATAAGTTTTAAATGCCTCAATAAATATACATCTGCTACTTGAAATTATAAAAGAAAATGCCCCATACCTGTCTGAATGAATCCTGATTTGTATCCATTAGTTGTGCCATTTTCTGGGGTCACAGTTGATGACACTGAAGAGTTTGGTTTAATAGAGTGGCAAGTAGCAGAGGATTGTCGGCTTCTACATTCTGGAAAGGAGTAAGAATCACATTATGAGAGGAGATCGATATTCTGTTAAAACTAGTGATGGGGATACAATGCATAAAATCTATAAAATAAATTGCTGCTTCTTAAGTGGCAGCCACTTTCCTTATTGAGAAAAAAAAAATCTGAGCATCTAAGAAACTGCTGAAAAGAATAAGGATTAGATATTCCACTGCATTAGAATAATGAATAGAATTTGTGTTAAATCTTATCAAACACATGAAGATGTGAAGTTTCAACTGGATTCATTTCTATAAATAAGTTAGTTAAGTTCTTCCTAACTGAAAAGAAACAAAATTTTGTCAACTGAATAGTATATTTTCCCAGGTATTACAAAGAGAGCATTATTTATTCTAAAGTATATTTAGTTCTAATTAAAATAGAAGAACATAGATGCTTAAAAGTTACCAAAGAACCTAAATAAAGTAGAAACAGCAACTGACCAGGGAACTGACAATTTGAGGCCCTCTTTAAATGACAGAAGAGCTAGAAAGAGTCCCTTTTTTTCCCTGAGAGCTGCACTCCACCCTCCCAAAGATAGATTCAAAGAGACAGGCACTTTCCTAAACTTGAATGGTCTCTATTAAAAATAGAAAGAGCAAGTCAAATAACCTGTCAGAGGGCTTTATATCTTTGGATAGCCTTCTGAACTTGGGGTATTTATCTATATCACACGTGAATTCTGAAACCTGTATGGGCCACTTGTCATTATCATAACATCCTCATTCCCTTCTCTTCCCTCTCCGGTCTGGAAGCTGACACTACCTTTCCAGCAGATAAGAGGTCCCTTTGACAGGACACCCTGGGAGCTTCTGACTAGGTAGTACTTTAAGTGCTTCTGCTTCTTTGGCTGGGTGGTGAGCTTCAAGTTAATGTGGTTGGAAAATTCTGTGAAATACCGAAATCCTCTTTCTCCACAGCCGATACAGTTTCCAGAAAACCCTGAAAGGAGGAAAACCAAAGTTACTGGTGACCTTGTAAGTTGATACAATACTTTTACATATAAAAAGCATAGAAATAGTCAGAGTCTTTGACCCAATAACTTCCTAATTTCGAGAAAATTATTCAGGGGCTGGCCCCGTGGCTGAGTGGTTAAGTTCGCGCGCTCTGCTTCGGCAGCCCAGGGTTTCGCTGGTTCGGATCCTGGGTGCGGACTTGGCACCACTCATCAGGCCATGTTCAGGCGGTGTCCCACATGCCACAACTAGAAGGACCCACAACTAAAATATACAACTATATACTGGGGGGATTCGGGGAGAAAAAAGCAGAAAAAAAAAAAAAAAGATTGGCAACTGTTGTTAGCTCAGGTGCCAATCTTTAAAAAAAAAAAAAGAAAAGAAAATTATTCAAAGGAAAAAAGCAGGTACAAAATTTTGTTAGCCATTATTTTCTAACAGTGAAAGACAGAAAATAATTTAAATTTTAAGAAATGCTCTAAAAGGATAATGGTTAAGGAAACAGAGTGGACAGTATCATTTGATAGAACTTACATAGGTGACATAAAAATATGAAAAAGTTTGGTCCCAGAGATATCCACTATGTCTTCTCCACATACTCCCTTCATAGAGAACCTGCCGGCCCTGGTTCTCTGCTCTACCCACCATGTGACCTTGCCTCCATGGCCACAGCTGATTAGACTGTGGACCAATATCTGATCCAATCTGGGACAGTCAGAATCTCTCTCTTGGAATTTTGAAATATATACAAAAAGTGTCAGTCAGATGGTACTAGCCCTTGGATTCATAAGGTTTTCTAAAAGTGGAACCCCAAGTTGAGGCTACATCAACCACGTGTCAGCCAAGGTATGGGAGAGAACAAACTAAGAACTGTGAAGAGAAGCTGCTCTGCAGATAGGAGAGCATGGACAGTGATGTGTAAACTCAGGGCACTGTCAACTTGCCAGTTTCTATCAGATCCAGCTGCACTTTCTGAAATGAGTTCCCTGAGATTCCTATTTCCTTTTTATTCAATCCCCCTTTACTCAAGCTAGCTTATTATTCCTTTAGATCTAACAGCCAAATAATTCCTCAGATTAATCAAACAAAATAAAACTTTCAGTGCCCTGCTTGGAGCAGGTGACATAGAAAGAAGAGATGGAGAAGGCTGGGAGGATGACAGGCCATGCTTTAGTTTATTGGAAATCAACTTTTCAGTCTCCTGTAACACACAGAGGAAAAGGCGAACAGGAAGAGGATGAGTTATTTTGGTTGTGAACTTACGAGGACATAACACTGTTATATAGCCAACAGACGTATAAAGAGAGAAGAGAAAGGCCATGAGGATTAAAAACAGAATATCTCACAATGACCCAATCTCAGACTGTTGACAATCAGTTCAGAGCATTTAGAAATGGTAGTCCAATTTATTATTATTTATTCAACAATTATTTATTGAGCACCTACCTATATGCCAGGCATTGTGCTAAATAAACACCGGGAAAACGGTGGTGTACAAGACATAGGCAAAAACTCTAATCAGTTACATAAAATTAGTAATTCTATGTAATTAGTTTATTAATGTCACTTTATAGAAATATAAACATCAATATAATTTCATAAATTATTTAAAATATATTCAGAGACAGATTGCATTTGAGAGCATTTGGCTATTTGTCCAATACCTTGGAGCTATAGGTAAAAAAAAAAAAAGTCAATGACTGCTTATTTCACCAAGTTACTAAAGCCATCCATCCATCCATCCATCCACCTATCTATCCATCCATGTATCTATCCACCCATCTATCCATCCGTCCATCCATCCAACAAATACTTGTATTCTACTATGTGCTAGGCACTGTTTCAGGTACCAGGTTTTCAGCAAAGAACAAAGCAGACAAAACCACTGCCTCTGTGTAACTTACATTGCGATGTGATGGAAAATTGTCTGGCTTGTGAGGCACATGTACCATACCCAAAACACAGTAAAAAGCTATAAGAACAGTTCAGCAAAAATAATTAAAAACAGTTCCAAAAAAATGAGGCTTATCTGATAATCCCAAGTAGTTTATAGAAGATTACGGTGAGAATTAGAATTAACAAATTACTGAGTTTAAGTTTTACCTTTTATCTTTTCCTCTGCCTATTCTCTGAGGTTTTTGAAAAGGAAGAGAGTGTGAGAAGCAAGAAAAGCAATGAATCTGGATAATTTTCAAAGAACAGAAACTTCACATTAATCATGAGAATTAACAATATTAAAGAGTTAAATCCTACAGTCCACTTTTAACATTCTGTATGGTTTCAATATTATTCTTGGTTCAAGAGAGATTTTTATCTGCTCAAAGTTCTCGCTGTCATTATCACAAAAAAATAACACCTCTTACAGCCAAATTACCTTTCTAGTTTTTCTGTCAATCAAGTCTTCCAGTTGCATAGTAGATTTGGGACACATGAACTGCCAAGTGGATCAATATATTTTTAAATCAATTCCCCCATAGCCTTTGGAATCTGCGTAATTTATATAAAAATTTAGACAAATTGATATTGGAGTCGACAGGGATTCTAGAATATTGGAAGTTTAAAATTTTTCCCACTATATTTTAATGCATTCTAAAATCGTCCATCCTAAGTAAGAAATGTTGGATGAATACTAACTTTTGAACAATAGAGTACTGAATACGTAAAAATCTCAATAAGATCCTTTTTTTCCTCAAAGTATGCTTTTTGGTGAGGAAGATTGACCCTGAGCTAACATCTGTTGCCAATCTTCCTCTTTTTTTTTTCCCTCCCCAAAGTCCCAGTACATAGTTGTATGTCCTAGTTGAAGGTCATTCTAGTTCTTCTATGTGGATGCCACCACAGCATGGCTTGATGAGTGGTGGATAGGTCTGTGCCCAGGATCTGAACCAGTGAACCCCGGGCCACCGAAGCAGAGCGCGTGAACTTAACCACTCGGCCACAGGGCCGGCCCCTAAATAAGATGTTGTCTAAGAAAAAACCTCTACCATTTTTTGCACTTCATGTTCACTTAGAAAAATTAGTTTAAAAAAATTACATCTATTTACAGGGCTAGAAAAGTAAGCAATGTTCCAAGTCTACATGGTATTTAATGAATATGACGGACTGGCAGAATAACTACCATAACTTACTCTTTAGAGCAAGTACTATGTGCCAGGCACTGTGCTGGATGGGTGCCTGATAAACATCATCTCATCTGATTTTACAGCCCTGCATGGTAGGCATTATTGGCCCTTTTATAAAGATGAGGAATCTGAGACTTCAAGAGGATAAGTAGCTTGCCCAAGTGCTTAAAGTACTAAGTGTCAAATCTGGGATTTAAACCCAGCTCCAATTCCAAAGCTCATATTCCTGATTACACAGGACTATGACATCTATTATTCTGATGGTGCTTTGAGTCCTTTCCATGATGTATCCTAGAAGGATTCTTCTAGTCATGAGGAATCACTGAGCAAAAAGGATTCTGAGAGATTCTTCTATGTCTGTAGTCAGAGCCACATACGAACTGTTCCACTGGATGAAACTATGATGCTTTAAAATGCTAAGCAGCAGCTTCCCAAAGTCATTCTACCACAGTTGCCTAGGTTCTTGGCTCTGTGAGGGAAAGGACTGTGTCATATCATTTTTGTGCCCCCATATCACAGCCTAGCATGATTTCTGTCACATAGCACGTTTTGAACAAATGCTGCTGAATGAATGAATGAACAAATACTTGGACCTTCTTTGCTAGTTTGGTCCAATTATAAACTTTACCATTAGGCTTCTATATTAAACCATCTGCTCAACTTCACTAAAAGAAATATAAAATGAACATTTTTTCATGAGAGTCTTATGAAAAGTGAAAATTATCACTTTGGTTCTTTTCCCATGAACCAAGAGAAGGCTTTGAACTATAATTTTAGGAAACTTTACAAAGCATGTGAAGGGTCACTTTCTGAGTCAAGATATTGATCTATGTATTTCTAAACTTTCTGATGACACCATATAATTAGGAAGAATACTAAACAAACAAAAATACACTTCACAATCAATACAATGCTTGAACTCTGTGCCCTCTTCTCTCTTTTTCCTTTTTACTGTTATTTGTACCGAAAACACCTATCTGTCCATCTCCAGTAGGAGATATTTCTGAAAAACAAAAATAACTCCAAAGAAACACAGCAGCAAAAAAGCAACAAATCTCACATGCCTCTTATTTGTCCTTTGAATTATTAAAAATAATTTAAAAAACAAATCTCCTCTTCGTTATTTACCATGATGTAGGGAAGCCATGTTGTGAAAAAAGCCCAGACTCAAAATAATACCAGAAAGTAAAACAATTCTGAGATAAAGTTATACATGTTACATCACATGTATATTCCTAGTTATTTTGGTTGAACTAATGATAAATATAATATGAGAATCACATCAATCAATGTAGTTAGGAATAATGCATGGTATGGAACAACTACCAATAACTTACAAAGTGGACATTCCACAGCCAAATAATTGAGAGTTGACTTGACATCAGGTCCAGATCAATGACTCTACAGAGAGTGAATCCTACTTTGTTTTACAAAATATTAATTTTTGATAAATCACATGCTGTCCTTTAATGCCTGGTTAAAAAAAGTCTCTTCATTAAGGCGAGTGTTTTGAGAACGAATAAAAAATGAAAGCTAATTTTTAAGAAGTTACTAAAAGAAAAAATGTTTCATACTTAAACCAAACTATATAATCCCAATTTTGTGATTTTTTAAAAACTTTAAAATAAAGTTGTATTTTTAACTGCATCTTGGAAGGAATTTTATAGATATGAATACTCACCTAAAAGTGCATTTTTTCCATGATCATCTGGTAGAAATCTCTTGTCTACAGCACACACTAGGATGTGTTCAGGAAGATTGGGAGACTTGGCTCCCACCAGGAGGAATCCTGCTGGGATGTCGATTTGTTCCATACACAGAGATACCAAACGCAAATCCTTTCCCGCTTGACAAAAACCTAAAAACCCGGAAAAAGGACACAGTGAAATGTTTAGAGAAGTTATATCTCCTTATCACCCATTTGGAGAGTAGATTTACCTGTGGGAATCACTATTAAGGACTAAATTTAAAGTCCACGTACTCCAACCACAAGATAAATCTATCTCATGTGCCCTCTGAGCAGAGCAGAAAAGACACTAAAAGGAGGTGTTTCTGACTTATTCAGCCAACACTGATGACTTTATATTTTCTGATCCACAAGTAAGCAAATGATAAATACAAGAAAACTTTGAAAAACATACGTAATTTTTATATGCACATAATATAGTATTTTTACTTTTAATGCAAATTCACTTCTCTAAATGGGGACAATCATAGCAAAGAGATGCTCTCCATTTCACATAGGAAGAGACTGAAGCTCAGAGTTTGGTAACTCATAAATGAATGGGCTAGAACTAGAAATCAGAACTGTTACATTATTTTCACTAGATATGACATGACAAGACATGATAAAACCTTACATAACCACTTTGTATATCATAATATGATACACCAATTCATTAGTTCATTATTTATTAAAAATCAATTGCAACAGATGCTGTGCTAGGCCCGGGGATAGAGTTGAACAAAATATATCTTCCTCTAAGAACTCACATAGTCATCAATTGGAAGAATGTATAAGGAACCGATAATCACAAAACAATATTACAGAGCACAGCTATTTTCTGTTGCAAAGCACCAATCTCCACTTCTTCTGGGAGATGATTAGAGTTTTTCTTGTTCTCTAATCATGTGATTCCCCTGGAGAGTTGTGATATCCCAGACTGACCTGGAGCTGGCACCTGATCCAAGTTGGGGCACTCTCATATCCGACCTTTCTGGCCATGGTTGATCCATCCAGGGGTGGGCACTTGACATAAACCAGGACAATGAAAGCCTTTTCCCTAGGAATTCTGAACATGGAGCCAGGGAAAGATTGGCTCACTTGGCTCTGTGCCAGCTCTTCCTTGCCCCGTGAGGGAAGTCTGTCAGCAGACACGAGAGGCTCAGGAGGAATGTTCTCACACTGTTTGGATCCTTGAAGCCCAGCTGTATCTACCTTTCCCATGGTTTGGTCATGAAACTTTTTGATCGGAACTCTTCCAATAACTTCTTCATTCTACCTAAGCTAGTCTGAGTTGGGTTTCTATGACTTGAAACTCAAAGAGGCTGAATAAAAGTATAATAAATGCTATTTCAGAGAGTTGTGGAAGATGGATGCAAACATCTAACCCACCACATCGTAGAACAAACCTGAGACCACCATCAATATTGCCCAATAAAAAGTGCAGAAGAACCATACTAGATTCTTTCAGTATCAATTCATATTATGATGGTAACCAAATGCCAACAAACAATTGGATGTTATCAGTTAGAATATGAGAAATAAAAAGAAAACAACATCCAAACATTGCATGAAGCTGTGGTGCATGGTTTGGATCATCAAATCTCAAAAGTAGATATAATGGAACTGGAAAAATTCAGTTAAAAAACACTAAAATGTTTGAGACAATGGAGTTCAACTATTTCAAGCTTGTAGTTTCCCTTTTAACATTAAAAAATTCAAATTTAACTTTTAGTGTTTGTGAATTGAGAAAAACATCAAAATGTTACTGTGAATTCTTTAACAATTTTAAATGAACTTGTATTTTATTATTCACAATATCATCTATATTTATTTGAAAAATAGTCATTTATACATGTGAGTCATATTATTTATTCAGCTAACAAACACTTTTTGGAGCCTATCGATACATAGAACCTCTTAAAAAAATTCTGCTGCCCCCAAGCCCATTAAGGAACAGGACTCACAGGTTTGAAAGTTGGAAACTGATGATGATGATGACGATATTGATGGCAACTAAAATTTATGGAGGCATTAACATAAACCAGGCACAGTGCTAAACGCTGTATAGATTATCTTATTTAATCCTCTCAACAACTCTAGGTAGGTACTACTATCTCTTTCTCATAGATGGAGAAATTGAGGCTCCAAAAGGTTAAAGAACTTGTGCAAGGTTACATAATGAGTCCAGTAATGTTCAGAGACATAAGACATGGGAAGTTTGCTATATAAAAACAGACAAAAAGCATTATCATTCAACTTGGCAAAAGAAAAGCTAAGAACAGTTATAATTCAGAGCTAAAACCATGAGTGGTGAACACAGACTTTTTCACCCAATTCTAAAATATTAAAGCTAGGAGGCATTTTAAAGTCCTGAAAGGAGCACTGATTTTTTTAATCAAAGGAATTATTAATTCGTGTATAGACAGTAAACCTAGAAGCATATTTCCCCTAAGAAGAAGCAACTTTATTGTGACTTGCTCCAAAAGGCAGAACATGTAAAATATCTTCCCAAAAGGTGTAGAAAATCCAGTGATGAGAGGTTCATGATTGTCTATTCATGGCAAGCAGGATGCTTGAGAAGCTATCTCTATCACTAAGAAGTTGTAATACAATCTTTCTACAACTTTGACTCATGGTATATTAGAAAGAGTGGGCTAGATGGAGATACAAGTCTGTACCAATTTGTACCAATTTGCAAATTATTAAAAGCTTTTTATTATATCAGAGCTATATTAACCTCAAGATCATCTGACATAGAATTTCCCAAGAAGTAGTTATCAAGCTCCCAGAAATTCATAAAGATATTCCACGATACTTAGGAATTATATGGGAAACACAACCAGACATCATTCCCAATTTCTAAAAACTAATAACTAATTATTCTAACATCCTACTTTTGAATGTTCTAAGGGCCTTCCATGCTACACATGTAGGAAGAGTGGAAACCAGTTGACTGAACTCAGGAGTCACTTGGTTGAACCCCATATCAGTGTGTGGTTTGATTATTACACAATTTTAAATTGTTTTTATTATCAGTCATATGTATTGATATGTTGCTTAATTTATACCCATAATGGGCTGTTGTTAATGATGGGAAGCTTGGGGAGCACTGATTGACTGATTGTGTTAATGAACACAACCATTTTACAAATGTGCCTTTGCTAGATATGAAAGTTAGATTCAATCTCAACCCCACTCATCAAATTATAAACTTATATTAAATACACCAATATGTTTCCAGGACACCAAAAAAAAAAGCAACGTTAAGGAAGAATTTTGGTGATTATAATCCAATTCGGCTCTTCATGTAAGAGGGAAAAGCCTACCTCTTTCAGCAGCATGTTATTTGCCGAGAAATTCTACCAACAGCAGCCTGAAATGTTTTCATCACATAGAGCAAAAATGCAAAAATTATAAAAAGTAAACTAGTACATCCTTTTAATCCTAAATATAGAAATTCCAAAACTTGGGTATTAGAAGTAGATTTTGACTTTTTTTGATGCTAGAAAACATTTAAATACATTTGAGTCCCCTCTTTCCCTCAAAAAAAGTATAACATTTTATTTTTGAATTTATCAACAAAACACGCTTTTTTAACACAATCAATTTAAAGTAAATTTAACAGTAATTACTGAGTGATAAAATGTAGGCATTTTTTCTCATATGCATGAATAATATCAGAGTATATTAATATACCGATCTAAAATAAATACTTTCTACTTAAATTCTTTATCATATGCCATGTAGTAACAGAATTAGTTTTTAAATTCCTAAGGGGTTCAAAAGATTATATATTACTATAAGAGAGGTTTGTGAGTCAAAGATTGGGTAACATTAATTTACTCCAATCTCTTTAGTATGTAAATGAGGAAACTAGGGCTAATAAAGTTAAGAAAATGTTCCAAGGTCAAAAATGTTCCTAGCAACCAAAAAAGGTGGAACTAGAACCCAGGTCTCTTGACTCCAAGACAGATGCTCCTTCATCCTCATTAACATCTCTCTAACACATAATGTTTTACCTTCCCTCAGTCTGATGTAGGACACTCTCTTATCACTTCTTCCTTGCCTATTTTTCCTGAGTCCTATCACCCAACTTTCCAGGCTGGATCCTGAGGGGGACTTGACACACCAGCCCTTGCCAGCAATGGGCTATGTCAGCATCCACCCATCTCATACTTGCTGATGAATCCTTAAAATTCATGGTTAAGCCACAAAGGCGATCTATGATTAGAGAGTGATATTTCTGATGAGCTTACTGAAAGCAATACATTGCAGCAAAAGGGAGATTAAGGGGGGAAAGTACAATTTTGGTTCTGGACTAAATAGGGATAGAGTAAAGAAGACACAGTCATTGTGGAGAGTATCTGAAGAAAGCAAGCATTTCTATGGAAGAAAGATGATTTCCGAGTGATTTCTGTGGTATATGGAAAGCTATACAGTCCATTCAAATTAAGAAGCACAAACAGTTTTTAGTACTACAGCCTTTCAGGGTTCTCTCACTTATGATATGAGGACACCTACAGGTCAACAGTAATAATTATTCAACAATGACTGGATTCTATGAGAAGCATGTTTCCTCAAAGAAGGAAGAAGCAAGACTTCTCCTCCTAAAATTTTTTTCAATAAGTGTTTGTGACAATGAAAAGAGAAAATGTCCTATTTTATACTAAAAAACCTACAATGATTGGAGTATTAAAGGGGCACAGGAACCAACTGAAATTGCTCCCCATGACCAAAATGGGGAAAATTTGAGCAACAAAATAGTGTTGGATTATATCCAAAACATAAAGTAAATATCCAAGAATTCATAATGATATAAATAAATGACTGAACAAATTAATAAATGGCGGGGGGAGGGAGACAAATTGCCATGCAGAAGAATTCCAAGTTATTTAAGTAGATACTCCACCCTCAAGGAGGTGGAGCAAACTCCCAGTTCCTTCAGCGTGGGCTGCGTGTAGTGACTTCTTTCCACAGCATGGAAAGGGGTGGGGGTGAGGGGACAGTGGAGATAACACTGCCTCAGCCAGGTGATTTAGGTCAACATCAACAGTCATAAATCATGGATAGTATGCACCCTTGATATAATATGATGAAAATGTCACTTTACCTCTGTGATCTTCCTCCCCCAAACCCATAACTCCAGCCTAATCAGGAGAAAAACATCAGACTAATTCCACTACAGGGTCTCCTACCTGACCAATAATTTCTAAAACTGTCAGGTTCATCAAAAACAAGGGAAGTCTGAGAAACTCACAGCCAAAAGTGTAAGGAAACACAACAACTAAATCTAATATGGTATCTTGGATAGGATTCTGGAGCAGAAAAAGGGCATTAGGTAAAAACTAAGGAACCCAAATAAACCATAGACTTTAATTATTATTAAAATTAATAATAATATAAGATGTTAATAGGGGAAACTGTGGGGATATATAACACTCTGTACTATTTTCTCTCTTTTTATGTAAATTTAAAACTGTTCTTATAAAAATAAAACTTATTTTTTAAATGTTCTATTTTATCTTCCTGTTTTCTCGTTACTCACTAACACAAGCCACATAGGCAATTTAATAAACAGGAAAGAACAGGAGAGAAAGAGAAGGCAAGGCTGAGTCCTAGACCAGGGTCAGGAAGAAATCAATTCAAGGCCAGAAATGGTTGCAAAATCAAGGAAAAGTTCCTAAGTTCAATTTGTAGTTATTCTGAGAATACACTCACCTGCCAAGGGTCTGGTCTTTTGCTGTGATATCTAGTAACTGACTGTTTTTTTCCAAACTCTCATTGTTGGGATTCAGATCAGCTAATTATATACAAAACATATCCTCAGGGATCCCCAACTCAGAAAAAAACATCATGCAAGGTGCAATATTTAGTTTTTTGTTTTTTTAAAAAAAACTATTGCAAGTAAGCTCCGTTGTTTGTAAAGAAGAATGGGTAGCTAAAGAATCTATGAAATGTGATTACATTTCAAGACCTATAGGATCCAAATATCTGGTGTATCAGATAGTTCTATTTTCCCACGACTAGAAATATGTCAGATTATTAATATGATAAAGATCAAATATTAAATCTCAATTAAAACCTCAAACAAAATAAAAAGAAGCCCTGCTAACCCCCTCTAGGGTAATTTTTAATTACATCTGAACTAATCCTAGAGAAAAGATAGGATCTTTCTTTGAGAGGCTACGGAAGATCTGGGAAAGAGTACCCTAAAGGAAGGATCTAAGCCTGTTTACTGTACGCAAGGAAAGATAGGTTATCGATGTGGGCATACAAATAACAATCGGACAAACATGCCCCTAAATAGTTTCATTTTCTGAGAGTAATACTGAAACGCCGCCTTAAAACCAAGACTCTTGCAGCAAGTGATTTTAATTTTAAAAAGTAATAATAGGAGAGGGCGCTTCTTTGTAAACTTCATCTGCATTTCCTTAAGAAAATAGCCAAGGTTTTCACTTCAGAGAACCAGGTTTGCATTTTCCAATTATCTCTAACTTGAAGGTTACACAGCAATCTAAATGGGGGGAGGGGAAAGTTTACTGACACAGCTGTAAACACAAACTAAAGTAATCCAAGCAGTATTGGGAAGCCTGAGATTCTGTTGCCCTTCACCCCTTTGGACAATCAACTGCCTCCCAGCAGGGTAGGAACCTACACGATTCCAATAATTTACATAAGAAATTAGCAGCCAAAATTTACATCTGAATGGCAACCCCCAGAAGCCCATCAGGTGTTAAGTATCTGCTTATCTAAATTGCCTCTAAAAATAGCTTTACCTTCCTTTAAGTCTTGGGTAAATAGAGGATTTCCCATGAAGAGAAGGTGGTATGCTGAAGCCAGTCCGGGCAGTAATTATATCGCCCTATTTCACTGTCATTTTTATAAGGAAAATTTCAGAGCTGTTCTGTTTTTGAGTGAGAGGACTCTTAGAACTACCTTAGAATGAGCCAAATGGAAAGAGCTATGGACAAACTATAAACTATCAAATTAGAAAATATGCTTTTAGTTTTTGATGGCCACCCTCAGGTGAATTAACAAGGGAAAACAAATAATGGACATGTAATTAACTATAATAAACCAAACTGGCTGATGTAGGAATCTAAGTGGAGGACTAGTGTTTTCAGGTTGTCTTGAAGTTTGAATCTTGTGCTTGGGTGGGATAGTTCTTTTTTCTCAGAAAAACTATATGTCCAAGTTTTTTCCTTTATTTCTAAAATAACTATTACCCTTTCTTATACTTTACAGAACCGCTGCAGCGTAAGAGTCACGTCCTCATGTTTTAAAGTTCAAGACATACTCGCTATCTGCTAGATCACTGAGTGTCCATCTTGGTGAGTGTTCAACAGCTTTCCATACCTGGTTATAAACAATGCCAGGGCCAGATACCAAACTAAAAACATACCTAGAGCACAGGAAAAACAGGGGAACCACTTCTCTACTTTTTGGTATAAAAATTGATATTTCAAAATTCTCCTCTAAAGCTTTTACTCTGGTTCTATTTAATTCTTAACATATAACAAGATTCTCAGTAACAATCCGACAATATTTTAAGCACTATATCAACATCCAGTTGTTATTTGATAAATATGAATTGACTGATTAATTATATAAAAAGCATGAAAATGGATACAAAACAGCTAAGTAAACCTAATGCCAGTTACCTTCCACACCTCTACAGGTATAAAGGTCTGTATTACGTCAATAATAAGTAAATTGATATATATTATATAAAGTCTGGGCAAAAGAAACCAGTGACAAGCGGAAGCAGATTCATAAGGAGTGATGAGCTAGAAGCAAGTCCAACTCAAAGAGCAGTAGTACTTAATTGCTAGAGACTGGCAGTGAATCAGGTGCCGATAAGCTACTAGGAGGATTATTCGAGTCTCCTCAACCCCTAGGTAGGGGATTTTGAGGCCTTTACAGTTTATCAAAGTCTCAAAAGAGAGACAGAGAGAGAGAAAGAAAAGAAAAAAAAAAGTCAAGAGAAAATAAAACTTTCAAACAGTGCAAACTCATTTATCTGGCTTTGCATATTTGAATCTCTAGTTTATCACCAAATTATTTGCACTTCAAGCTTTGTAGGGGAAATGTCTTGAAATTTTACCATTCTCCCCACTGCCCCCAAGATTTTCATGCATTGAAATCACCCCAGGTCCAAGTTAGTCTGGGTATAAAAGTTGCACTCTGCCTAATATGGATAAAGAAGAATCCATATACTAATTAGGTCAAGATGGTCAGCAAACTGTGCTGTATATCACTAAATGGAGGGAAGACAGTATAATGTGTGACATTATCAAAACCCTGAAATACTAAAAATGTTTTATATTAGGATTTTCTTTTTAAAAGTGCGCTTAAAGCCTTGGTAGAAGAGGAGGTTGACAAAATAAATAAAATGAGATTATCAAAATACGTACATTTTTATCTTCTATAGATAACAATATACTAGATGGAAATATACTAAATATACAATATAAATATACAATATACTAAATGGAAAAGGTAAATATAAAGCATTTGTTATCTCTACTGTTTTGAGGTTGGAACAAAAAGAAGTAGGAAAAGAGAACACTGAAAAAATTCCTAAAATAGTAGCATTCCTGCAGGAAGTACCTGGAGCACTGGAAAAGCCCTGCCCTGGGTCTAGGCTTGCCTTTGCCACATACCATCTCAAGAAGTTGTTCCAGTGCTGTGAATTTCAGTTTCTTCATCTATAAGATGGGGTGATAATACTTGTCTTTCTTACAGACACCTGCTATGAAGTCATAGGAGATAACGTGTGTGAGAGCATAATTATTTCTCATTCCTTTCTGTAATTACTGGTTTCCAGCCTTGAGTACCACATGTAATGATTGGAAACTAGTCAGGCAATACTACAGGGATTTAAAAAAACAGAACTGAAACCCACCATCTGTAGTGCAAGACCCTTCTGGGGCAGGTTTTTGTGAATAGGGAATTGGTGGGCTATTCGAATCAGACATTTCTTCATCATCTTCGTCATCTTCCATTTCATTAACTGTTAGATTGCTAGAAAAATCCAGGCTTCCATTTTGAGTGTAGCGGTGTACCAAATCTTTATCCAGATCTTCCACCTTGGGTTTTACATCTGGGTAAACAAATAAATCATAGCTAATTTAATTTCAAAAATGCTTGTGGAAAAATAACCAAAAGAAAAATTCATAGTTCTGAAAGACTATCCGAGGACAGGGAGACTAGCGTTTTCTAACACTTACTCAATTTATTTCAGAGGTCCCCAGATTTGGAATTCCCACTTCTTTGAAAAGAAGTCTAGAAATGTGGGGGATTAAGAAACTTACCTGCAGATGAGAAAGGATGCTGGTCAGGGTCCAAGTACAGCTGGGAAAAAATTGGTCGTGGTACCACACTACTACATCTGAGAGAGGCTTCTATGGAGTTGTGGAGAGCTTCTTCAAATCGAGCAGATTTCAGTTGCCCAGCATATGAATTCCCCATGGTCTACACCACCCCCCCAAAAGAAAAAGAGGAAGAGAGGAGAAAAGTGATATAGTTAGAGGGCTATATGTCTGCAAAGAATACGTATAGCTGATATCAACTACACCCATATATCTTGTTAGGATAAGAACTATATGAACTCTACTATATTTCTTTTTTTTTTTTTTTAAAGATTGGCACCTGGACTAACAACTGTTGCCAATCTTTTTTTTTTTTTTTCTGCTTTATCTCCCCAACCCTGCCCCTGTACACAGTTGTATATCTTAGTTGCAGGTCCTTCTAGTTGTGGGATGTGGGAGGCCGCCTCAACGTGACCTGAGGAGCGGTGCCATGTCGGCGCCCAGGATCCGAACCCTAGGCCGCCATAGCGGAGCCCACGAACTTAACCACTTGGCCATGGAGCCGGCCCCTCTACTATATTTCTTAAGACAGTTTGTATAAGTCATCTGTTATATCACTTTTGCTGACATCACAAAAGTCTTTACAGTCCAAAACTATTTTTAAAAGCCTCTTTAAAGGATGTTGTATCTGAGAAACAAAGAGTAATAAATGCTTTAAGTCAAGGTTCTCCAAACAGTAGATCAAGACTGATTTGTCAATCATGAAACCCAACATGGTGACATAGGGCCATTCTTCCTCCTTAAAACTGGTGGGCTACCATAACCCCATACCAACTCTATCAGTGGTTTCAGAGTAAATATTTAATTACTTCTTTCTCTACTAAGATCCTATTACCCTAAGGGAGAAAAAAGATTCTTCTCTGGAAAAAGAATGAAAGCTTTATAATAATATATTTAATTGACAAACTCCTGAAAGCAAGATTTGAGCCTTTTAAACTCAAAGAACTCATTTATGTATTGCTTGTATTTATTTAAAAAAACATTGTTGTTTCTTTTGTTTCATCTGAATCACAATCTTATTTAGGATCCTTCAGGAAAATATAAAGAAGTTTTGAAACCATAGCCTTTACTTCTCATAGCTAATATTTGTATAGTACTTGCTAGTTACAAACATTTCCATGTGTGTCAATAATAACTACAATTCATTGGATGCTAACTATTGGCTATACCAACAATTCTCAAAGTATGGTCTGAGATCCCTGAGACCCTTTCTGGGGTCCAAGAGGTCAAAATTCTTCTCAAACTATTACTAAGATAATATTTGCCTTTTTCACTCTCATTCTCTCATACGTGTACAGTGGAATTTTCCAGAGGCTGCATGATGTATGACAATACTGAATGCAGAAGCAGACAGACTACTCTTCTCACTAACTTATTTTTAGAAAATAGCTATTTTTCATAAAATATGTTATTTATGTTGATATATAATGGGTTTCTTATTGTTAATTTTTAAAATTAATATTTCTTAAAATTCTTAGTTTTAATTTCTAATACATATAATCCACATAAACAAAACTCAGTAATTTTTAAGAGTATAAAAGGATTCTGACATTATGTAACCTACACAGAATTCGAAATATATTACGATGTAAATCTGAAAGCTATATAAGGTTATAATCCAATGTTTCTGTAATAAAAAATAAAAATAGATAAATAAATAAATAAGCCATACAATTCTTATGCTCATGCTCTGTGAGCATAAGAAGAAAGGAAATGCAATAAGCAAAGTTTTAATGACATTGCCCCGTTCTTACTTTTGCATAGGAATTACACTGCTCTATTTGAGACAGTCAGTATTTTAAAATGTTAAAACGTGTTTCCTAAAATAAAAGTTTATTTTCTACTACCAAAAAATAAAAAAAAAAATTTTTGTAAGTGTTCTGAGATTAAAAGTCTGAGAACTGTTGGGCTAGACAATATACTAAGTACTTTATAAAAATTATTTTACTTAATCCTCAGTATTCTTTTTCTTTTAAAGATTGGCACCTGAGCTAGCAACTGTTGCCAATCTTTTTTTTCCCTGCTTTTTCTCCTCAAATCCCCTCAGTACATAGCTGTATATATTTTTTTTAGTTGTGGGTCCTTCTAGTTGTGGCATGTCGGACGCCACCTCAACGTGACCTGCTGAGCGGTGCCACGTCCGCCCCCAGGATCCAAACTGGTGAAACCCTGGGCTGCAGAAGTGGAGCGTACGAACTTAACCTCTCTGCCATGGGGCTGGCCCCAGTCCTCAGTATTCTGAAGTAGGTATGACCTCTTCCCACTTCATAGATGAAAAAACTGAGGCTTGGGGAAGCCAAGCGACTTGCCCACTGTCACTCAGCTGATAAAGGGTCAGAACCAGGACACAATATTTAGCTGTGTGACGACAAATCCCACACTCCTAGAATACAGTCTCAACTTGGGTATATCTCATTTCAAGAAAGGCAGTTTCAAGAATATCTCAGTCCCACTTATCCTATCAAGGAGAGGGATATTAAATTTCACCTGCAACTCCACCTCTGACTGACCCCCTGGAGCGAGTCGGTGGAGGACTGGTTGAGAAGAACCCTGAGTATGTATCTGGGCTCAGGGGGAAAAGGAAGCCAAGATCCACTAGTGACGACTCCTGAGCAGAGACGAGGCACATCACAGCTCTGCTCTCAGGTTTCCCAGAATCAGATGCATGAGCTCTGTAGGAGATTTTGGTGGCCCTGAGCTGCCATATATAGCAAAGAAGGCTTCTTACATGATTCCCGGCAGCAGTGAGTAGGATGCAGAGATTTCCACGAGAGTGGCTGAGCTTATCAAAGCTTTGTTAGCGATTCCTATGATTTGGAGGAAATGCTGGAATAATATTTTGGCATCTTTCTCATAATAGGTAATAAGAAACTAAATGCTATGGATTTAAATTACTAGCTTCCTTTCCAAAAGAAAAATAATTTGTAATTATCTGAGGTAATTAAACTTACTGTAGTAATCGTTTTGCAATATATCAAATGATTATGTTGTACACCTAAAACTAATACAATGTTATATGTCAATTACATCTCAATAAAACCAGGAAAAATAAATTACTAGGTTCCTTTTTTACAAAAAGTACATACCCAAAAGTATGTGTCCAATACCTAATTAAAAGTTGTAAGCAGAAGGAAATCAACAAAGAGTGTCAAATAAAATTTTCCTGAAATACCAAGTTTTTATCCAAGCTCCTAAAATTCCCCACCAATACAACTATAAATATTAAAATTTTCTAAAGCTCAAAAGCAATTTATTTTTCAACAGAACCCACACATGATCAAAACAGGGTACAGGTTGGAGGAGAAATATGCTGTGTCACTAGTTTGTGTATCTAAGTCAAAATTCAACAGCCATTTCACTTTTTTTCTTTGCTGAAGGGAGAAAACTACTAGGAATTAGCACAGTCATCCATGAGATTTCTTATCCACGGAGAACAATGGAATAACTTCAAAGGTGGACCTTTAGCCTTTCTCCACATCACCAAATGCCTGGAAATCTTGCCTCTTCTATGTGCTCAACAAGTTTTATCTTCCTTTCATCACTGAAAACCTACATTCTCCAAGAGATCTCTTTAGTTTAATATAGAACTGCCCAGTTACACATGGAGGATTGCATAATCTCAATCCCTTCGATTTATAGTTTAACGAGTAATACGACAGATATATATATATTTAATATATACATGTCAAACAAATTGTGCTGAATAAAAATATTAAGTCAACATAAAAATGGACAGTCGAGTTTCACCATCATAGAAGACATACATAATCCTACAAGAGCACTAGCAATACTCAGATGAAGACAAAGGAAGGAACTATGAACAGATTTAGGAGAGTAAAAGAAAGTGGCTGACTATTCCAGATGAAAACATAACTCGGCATTTTTTTTTTGTAATAAGATTGGCACCTGCACTAACATCTGTTGCCAATCCTTTTTTTTTGTTTGTTTCCCCTTCTTCTTCTCCCAAAAGCCCCCTGGTACATAGTTGTATAATCTAGTTCTGATTGCCTCTGGTTGTGCTATGTGGGACGCTGCCTCAGCGTGGCCTGATGAGCAGTGCCATGTCTGCGCCCAGGATCCGAACCAGCGAAACCCCGGGCTGTGGAAGCAGAGCACACAAACTTAACCACTCAGCCACGGGGCGGCTCCTGGGCATGTTTTTTTTAAAGATTTTATTTTTTTCCTTTTTCTCCCCAAAGCCCCCCGGTACATAGTTGTATATTCTTCGTTGTGGGTCCTTCTAGTTGTGGCATGTGGGACACTGCCTCAGCGTGGTTTGATAAGCAGTGCCATGTCTGCGCCCAGGATTCGAACCAACGAAACAGTGGGTTGCCTGCAGCGGAGCACACGAACTTAACCACTCGGCCACGGGGCCAGCCCCCCTGGGCATGCTTTTTTAATAATGATAATAATAATAATAATGTGAAGAACTACAGAACTGACTGCAGACCTCTTTACTGCTGAGTATGGAGTTCTTCCCTTGACAGTTCAATGCCACCCAAAGAAGGGCAGAGTTCAAAGGCTGAAGCCTTTTAGTGCAATATATTCTTAATATAATTTGTTGTTACTCGATTCTGACTCCTACCGACCCTGTGTACACCAGAGTGGAATCCCGCTCGGTCTTTTCATGCCATCCACTCACCTTGTAGCGATGTATCAGACAACGCTCCACTGCTATTTATAGAGTTTTCAAGGCCAATTTTTTGGAAGTGGGTGGCCAGGTCCTTCTTCCTAGTCTGTCTTAGCCTGGAAGCTCCACCGAAACCTGTCCACCATGGATGACCCTGCAGGTATTGGAAATACTAGGGCCACAGCTTTCAGGATCACAGCAACATGCAGCTGCCACAGTATGACAACCAACAGACAGGTGGTGTAGTTTTCTGACTGGGAAACAAACCTGGGCTGTCGTGGTGAGAGTGCCGAATCTTAACCACTAGACCACCAGGGCTAGCTTCTCAACATCATATGCCATCATATTTAGGGTAACTGAAATTATTGGCACTATCCACCTTGACTATTGGCCTTCCTTTCCTCTGAATCTCAAATAGCCCGCAGTGCCTGAGATAACATACCACACCCCTGAAAGTAAGTATGAACAAATCT